CTGCATTAGTCTACGCCGTCCTATCGGTTCTGTGAGTCGAGTTCCCACAACGTTTAGCGCACTATCTCAACGGTTGCAGTTATTTTTTCATACAATTGGCGGTCTTAATATCGTATGTTGATGGCCTATGGTGGCGGTCACTAGGCTAACTCCCAATCACAGCTCACTGGACAACGGCTCTTCCACTGGTATCTTTGTTGGAAAGATCCTTAATGAAGCAAATATAAATGCCAACAGAGCATTTGCTTTCGTTGATGGTGAAGAAAAACAGAAGGCACTACGAATTTGCCCTGAAGGAGTGGCCCATTCAGCGTCTCGAAGCAGCTGCCCTATCACCTTCCCCAATAGCGAGGCTGCCTCCAGGGCCTCGACCCTGCCCCCCGAGGCATATATTCCTAAACGGGATCTGACCATGGTGCCGGTCTTTGTTGCCGGGAATCTCACTTCATTCATGATGCTTGATACCGCGAACCCTGAGGAGATCATCTCCCTTTCGGCCACCTGTGTTCAAACCTTGACATGGCCTTATCAACAGTGAGTCCGGCCCACGAATGCAGAAAAGTGTCTAAATCTGTCTATAGGATTCAACAGACGCACAAGGCTGAAATAAGCATTCTATTTGCCCATGGTAAGCATACTTTACGCAATTATTTATGCTTTGAGCTGACGACATTACAGTTTCTCTCTTGGTGCTTTCCTTCGCTACTCTGTTTAGTCAGGTATGATAAAAAAAGTGTAGGAATCCTCACATACTCACATTGCCGTAGTCGATGTCACTCGTGGGATCTTCTCTCTTCCTTCAAATCGCGATATTCGGGCTTTCCATTGGACAGCTGGCTTCTTTCATGTCTTTCAGTTCCCAACACAAGGACATTATTTCATCAACTACTGGGGCTTGTGCTGGCGTTGATATGCTCGCATCATTCCTTGGGAAACATCTGTCCTTTGCGATTGCCAAGACTCTGGTAGACGCCATCATCCTGTGCCTGATGGGCTTCTTGTCATACCGCCTCTTCTTGGTAGGTTGTCAACTAGATGCAAAGTACATGATATTGATCTGTATTCAGGAGTACGGATGGGCACAGTTCAAGATGATCCAACCAGCTGTGCAGATCCGCCGTGCATACGTAGCGTCTTTGGCCCTCTTCACTATTCTGCCAGTAGGTGGTCTTGTGAGCCTGGCATGAATGGAGGCTGATAATCTTACAGCTCGAAGTCTTCTTCTATCTCGCGAGCTCCGGTCTTTGGCTAGATGAAATTATTTCGCACATGTTTGGTGCCAGGCCTTCGGCTCCAAGTGCCATCTTGGCTGTTCAAATTATCTCTTGTGTCTTTTTGGTCCCTTGGCTATCTCTTCCTTATCTCGGAATTCAACGCGAAAACAACAAGTTCTTGATCGCCTTCTTCTCTATCTCGGTGTTGTATATCGTAGGATGGGGTGCCATGTTCAGCGGCATGACCTTCCGTCAAAGCTTCATGCTGTGGCCATTCATGGGGTCAGTAATACTCAGTCTGGAGACGTAACGTAACTCAACTTTTGACAGTGTTATGTTTGTCATCTCCTACATTTTGCTCATCATAACGATCGGCCTTGCTATTCTGTGCTCGTTCCACTTTGGCATCGGAGTTCCTGATTACTTGAATGGCCGACATAATGCTGTTCCTCTACCTGGATCTCGCTCTGCAACACCGATCTCTTCTGATGACATTGAGAAGCTTACCCTCCGTAATATTCAAGGAGAGTTCGTTGTCAAGCTTCCTTCCGATGAAAGGCTTGAAAGCCCACCTCAACGGTCTGATAGCTTGAAGTCGAAGAAGCTCGTTCTACTTGAGCGCAGCA